TGTAAACTTCCAAAGGGTAGTTTGCGCGACCCAATTCGCGCGACCAAGTGACACTCGTCAAAGACTTGTATAGTCTCTAGTAAACTGGGAGCCGTTAAGACGTTCCAAATATGACTTAGATATTTGAAATTGGAACTGTTTCTTTTGTTTTGAGTGATTATGACGTCATAAATTAAGTATTTGACATCGCAGTCAATTGACATACGTTTTGACCTATCAAAATGCACCAATCCCCAGATAGTACCTAATTCTGTGTTATGACGTCTCTGCCAGGTCAATTAACTATTTATTAATTTCATATAATAATATTGAAAATCGTATTACGCAGCAAATTGAAAAGTGACTTAATTTTCAGGGCTAAATTGGAGCGTTTTTTTAAGAAGTTTTGTCTTTGAATTGTTTGTTATTGGTATCCACTACCCAGTCATAATAATATCATATATTATTTAGATGATTACGGTTTTTAAGCTAAAAAGGTCAAAGATTTAATCAAACTTTTTTACCGACCCAATTCACTGTGACCGACCGAGTGACCCTCATGTAGACATCAATTTATTTGCTGTACGTAAAAGTCAAGTCCAATTTTGTCTGACTTGACCTTTAAACCAATATAGATGGAAAGCTGTTTTCATTCGTTTTAAACCCTATTTAGTCAGCTTTCAGCTCAAAATATGTTGGCAGTAATCTGCCACCACTAGGGATTGGTAGCTAAACTTATGCATGACAGCCCATTTGGGCTTCACACTAAACTGGGATTCTAATCCGTGTCAGTGGACTGACGATTCTCTTTCTACAATTCCTATTGTCATATTTCCGTATTAGTATAATCGTAGATAGAGACAATGAAATCTATTTATGATCAAATCCAATCAAAGTAGATAATTGTAGCGCTGTTATTTCTAATTGCTTTTATATTCCAACGTATTATTGGAAATACTTTTTACGGTAATATCTTATTATGTTTAGAATATTAATTTCAAAAGGAAATAAAAAGAAAAGTAGTTACACCACACTGCATTTTCCACGTTGGTTAAACAACGTTTCAATGAACTTGGTTGTCCGATAAGGAATGTGGTTACATGCTTCCGTCCCGGTTACTGATCCTGGTTTGCTTAAGATATGTCAGATATGTGTTGTGAAAGTCCTGTTGATAATTAAGCGAGTTACATCAACCGCCAAGAAATTACTGAATATGGAACCTTTTTAAGTATTAATAGAACTCGTTTTTGATCTGGAAAAATTACGGCCCCAAAGTTTTTCTGCATGACGTCATCACGTCCATAGTTACTTGTCGCAAGTTCACAAGAGAAATAAACTCATTAAAGCAGGTGCGATGTCTCGCGCCAACCACGCGCTATTGTGACGTCACTACACGAGTCATCTGGCTCTAGTCCTTGTCATGACGTTTACACTCGCTCTACTGTGACGTCCATTAGTCTTCTGGCTCTAGCTGAACTATTAGGGATTCTTACCGGCTACATAATCTACGGCCGTTTGCAGATAGGTAGTTATAAAAAATACTCATGTTTTGTTTGCTAAAACTGTCAAAATTTTAAGCATATTATTTATAGAAAATTGTAGTCCTTAGAAGTTCTAATGTAATTATAACTCCTTAAAAGATTGTCATGTCAACAGCAAAGGATTTTCCCAATATATTTTGAACTTAATATTTTAACATTATGGCTGTAACTAGCCCAAACATAGCTTTATTTACTAAAAAATAATTCAGACCTGGTCTGTTACCTTCAGTAGGTAATGTCAATATTTTTGTTTTTGAATTTTCTAGAATACTTTTTATTGTGTAAACATAAACATCAAGAGCATTGTAACACTGGATTGTTAGTAAATCCTGATGCAAATAATGATAAGCAATGTTGAAATATACTATGACAATAGGAAATAAGGCAGATAAGTTTATCTTAATGATGAAATTTTAACAGTATGCCATATCATTATTCTATTTAGCAACTACTTGAAAATAAAATAATAATTGAAAAAAGAGACATGTACAGGCTCCTTAAGAGCAATAAATTGTCCGTTTGCAAGCACTAATTCAGTTAGTCCAGACAAATAAAGACATTTTATTCGGCTATTGTCATTTCATTATTTTTCCCGATGTTGTATAAAAAAATACCCCATGAAATACCTACTTAGTAGGTACCTAAGATAGGTAGGTATTATGATTTAATTTTGTACTTTATCAAGTAGGTAATCATTGAAACACCGCGTATATTAAAATGCACTCGAAATGTGATAAAATTAAGTAGATTAATTCTTGCACGCAATCTACATACACGTTATTTGCATTATCAAACTTTCGCGACCTTGAACTACAAATAATTACCTACATTTAACGCATAATGATACGACATTTCCAAAAAAAAATTGTTAGCACGTGGAACCCTAAAGCTCGCGAGGCGAGGCGTTTACGTTAAGGTGCGGATAAGTGTGCGTTGCAGTAGAGTTTCATACAAATAATACTTACTGACCGCCTCGAGTTGAAACGGTTACAATCCCTTTTCCGGTTGATGTTAAACAAAAAACCTAGTTACCGTTATTGACAGAAAAAAGACGGTTCAAAAAGGACCAGTCAGACATTATGGTCGGTCACAATATGAAAAGATAATTTTGTATTTGTCGCTCACATTTTCGAAAGAAATCTAAAAGTAGGATTACGTCTGGGATCGGAATATCAGATGTTCAAATCAGATAATCTGGACAGTTAGTAATCCGACTACAATACAACAAAAATCATTTGACCCATTGTAACACATATTTCTCAGAACAAAAAGGATAATTCAAACAAGAAACCTGGAGAACGCTGACAGGTGACCGAGGCTGACCTACACCTAAAGGTCAGCAGATTAATATTAGCCACTTTAAATGTAAAATTATGGAAGGAATGGAAAAGTCCAGAAGGTTTTATAAGACCAATATTCTTCAAAAAAACTACATCTTTGCTATGACAAACAAACAAATCCTTCCAGAAATCTAACCGGTAGCCTAGAACTCTATATTGAAAGCGGGTCGCCGCCTCTACGTCTTCAAACTTAGCACGACATGACGTCAGATGTCTCATGACGTCAAATACGTGTTGTATTTGTAGTACACACACACTAAGATTGTACCGAGAGGTATTCAGATATTGGCAGACAATACAAACAGATACGCCGCTATCGATTAAATGTAAAAGAACTGCAACAAAATGAAACATAAAACTAGAACCTATTCGTATTTTTGAAATCATAAATCGATAAACAACGTATTTTGAAACATTCGTTAATAAATCGCATTCGAAATTTCAGAAATCGTTAACGAACCCCTATACGATTTAGGTTCGTATTTAAAATAAAAATTTGGAATTCGAATGCCTAGAATACATTTCAAGAAACTCACAAAGTCAGGGCCGTTCGTTGGTCTTGGGTATTAATATAACCATAAGCTATTATTTTCCTAAAATAAATAAATTCCATACATTTCTCCATTAATAAACTTATTACAGGCATGTATCAAATTGTGCGGAAGAATTTTATGCCCGGAAACTTAGAAAGACATTCAACTCGGGAAATGTGACAGCTGATAATTATGTACAGTACATTATTCATGTACGGACAATAGCATAAGAAGCTGAAGTCTATGGCATCTAATGTTATTGTACTAAGATCGATTTAGCAATAAACATGCGTATGTAATGCTTGCGACTGCGCATTGATATTCTCCTGCAAATCACTTTGCTTTGCTTTATTGCTTCCATAATGTTACAAAAGGTGTTAATGGTAAGGTAAAATAAAATTATGGACCCTGTCGGGCACTGCATTTTAGGAGAGAGAAAGATTTTTAGATTTATCGCATTAAAATTATTCTATGCTCCTGTCGTGCAAGATTGACCCAAATGTACAAACCATATTTTAAGGCAAGATGTTAATATAACTTCACCAAAAGTTTACTGAAATATTCATAATTGGATACTGGAGTGATATAATTAAATTAGAACAGTCGACAGAACCTACACTAACCAAAATGGGCAGTTAATTCAGAGTCAGATGCTAAAGGGATAAAGTTCAAAGTCATTTGAAGATAATATTTATCCGGTGGTAGGTCTATACATACATCCCTTGAAGTTAAGACATTTATCATAATTATTTCATCTTCCTCCCGTCACTTAAGTAGAACAATTTTCTCAACTTTAAATTAAATTTCAAATCGGCTGTTTTAAAGAGTTTTAGTATAAGAACTTAAGAACCATGACATTAATTATAATATTCTTAATCCAAAGTAATTAAATCAGATAACTCAGTGACCGATATCAATTACTAGGTAATTTCTAATCATATCACATAGATACAAGACTATTATTGTCGCAAATATTAATTCTTTCGAGATTTTTACTATGATAATACGTAATAGATAAAAGAAACACCTGTTAAATAAATAGTTACAAAGATAAACATAAATACCAGGCTGGCACATGCAAGATTCAAATCAGTTTTACGTAATATAACTATGGCAGTCGATTTTCACCTGAAGTCTGAAACCAGGAGTGGAATCTCAGTTGTTAGAACTCTTGAGATAAAAGAAGAAGTGTAGTTAAGAGTCAAGATATTAAGCAGACACTGCGAAATAGAGTCAGACCCACCAATTTATCTGTACGTAGGAAGGAAAATTACTCCCACCCTAGCTCTATTATGATTCAGTAAATTTACTTTGGTAAATGGTATGGCATTTTGAAAATAGGTAACATTACTTAGGTTCCTCGGAAACCTATAGTGTGGTCAAATACATGTTTATTTTAAAATAACCAAGAAATATAGCCGGTAGCACATCGTACCACACTTTATGACTCAAACATACTTAGTTATTTTGTAATAGGACTTAAAAATGCTTCTCTACACGTCTCAGTAAAATTTTAACCCTACCATTGCTTTAGAAAAATTGTTCTACTGGTATAGAACTTCTAATACATATAAAATGCATTTCCCATGCTTAATAAAATCACATACCTGCACCCATGTCCCGCTACAATTGACCAGCATCACACCAGCATAAAACAAGTTACACAAATCACACGCGCTCCCCACACGGGCTTACGTCGTCGATTGAATAATTTATTAATTAAACTCATTATGCTAATCAATCAATACCCTTATCAAGTTCAAGGCGGATACGATACACCGAGGTAATATAGACTTTATTGTCTGAATTTTTGGTCTAATTATTTATTGGCTTTTGTCTTTATTTTATATAGATAGCCTTACTTTAAATCTACAAGAACTGTACGTTAAAAATCTTTAAATAAGGCTCTTAACATGATTTAAAAATAATCCTGTATAATAATTTTACGATAATTAACCCAATTATTAGCAGCATTAAAATTTATCAAGAAACTGATGTCGAAAATTCCTATTACAATTAAATAGTTAGTAAACCGTCCAAATTAATACTGAAACTTCATAGTTGTATTAAACAAATAGGTTCGTGATATCAAGACGGTATTAAATTGATGACTGAAATACTTATTGGTTGAGATCAGCCTCAGTATCATCAGTATTTGAGACTATTTCTTTTGTATCGGTCAACCTTACCCCCTCTTCTTTAAGTCAATTCTTCTATCTATAAGACTGTCACTTTCTAGATTCTGTCAAAAATGACAGCGACAATAGAGCCAAAATATGGTCTATTATCGCTCTATGGTGTAAGCAACCTTCATTGTATGTGCGTTGTACGTATGTTCCATGTTAAATTCATACACCATTCTCAAACAATAGTATTTCCTTGGATAGAAGTTTAATCCCACTAAGCGCGAGTCCTCATACAATTAAATATTTGAACAAATTGTCAACTGATTAAAATTTATAAGGCTCTGCAGAGGCAGGGCTCTCCGTTTGTTCATTCGGGCTGGAGGACGTCGGTTTTGTATAATTCTGTAATGGGAACGGCGGATATAACACCCAAAATAATACATACCAATGTTTATCTACATTTTTAGGGTTCCGTAGCCAAATGGCAAAAAACGGAACCCTTATAGATTCGTCATGTATGTCTGTCCGTCTGTCCGTCCGTATGTTACAGCCATTTTTTTCCGAAACTATAAGAGCTATACTGTTGAAACTTGGTAGGTAAATGTATTCTGTGAACCGCATTAAGATTTTGTTGCAAAAATAAAAAAATAACAATAAATATTGGGGGTCCCCATACTTAGAACTGAAACTCAAATTTTTTTTTCATCAAACACATACGTGTGGTGTCTATGGATAGGTCTTTAAAAATGATATCGAAGTTTCTAAGATACTTTATTTCTAAACCGAATAGTTTGCGTGACAGACGCTTCCAAAGTGGAAAAAAGTTGCCCCCCCCCCCCCCCCC